CCTAAATCTTCCATTTGCTGTGCTTTGGAAAAAAAATAACGCTCTTCTAGTGCGTAGCATGGTATAAATGATCAGCAAGTGTAAATTGACAGCTGCATAGGATGGGCCGGAGAGCAAAGGAGATAACAATATAACAAGACAAATGTTTGAATGATATTAACTACAGAAACCTGTAAGCCTTAATCCTGCTAACTTGACTTGCCACTGTTAGCATGGGGTAGCCTGTAGTTTATATGCCTGGCCTGGCTGCAGTGATTTGATCATTACTGCAGTAACACAGTAACTGTTACGGATTTAAGTCTTTTTTTTAATTTTATTTTATAGCCTGGAAGTGGTGTTCGGGTGGGGGGTGGAGCAGGAGGAGGGGTAATCGCCTCCTGTGTCTATTGAGTTTTTACATTGTACTTATTATGTATTTTTACATTGTACTTATTATTGTACTTATTATTTTACATTGTACTTATTTTACATTGTACTTCATATTTTCACAAGAGAAACTTTTAGGAACAAGATACCATTGCATAAAAGTCCCTTTAGTTCCTGTTGTCCTGTTCCTAGCTCACTCATAACAAGATTTTCTACATTTTGAGCCACAGGTCTGCAGGCATGAATAATTGTGACTACAGAATTGAGTCTGCAGCTCATTTATGCTCAGAAATAACTGTAAGCCTTAAAAACCCAATGTATGGGTGCATCACATTGTGATTTGCCAAGTGACATTAATTGCTGTTGCATTTACTCATGCCAGAGGCAGCTGAATATTTTCCCTAGTGCCTGTACTTATTTCTTCTGCTCTTTTTCAGCGGAAAGAATCCTTCCGGGAGGCACTTGAACAGTAAAAGAATGTGGCATTTTGAACTGGGGTTACTACCTTCCAAGAGGGCAGCGACTGTGATTTACTCCGTGGTGCTGGTGCCCGGGGACGGGCCCCGCTCGGTGTGCGCGGAGCTGCTCGGAGCTGGCAGGGACCAGCGTGGCCCTCGGTGCCGGGTGGCAGCGCTGACGTCAGCCCCGCGCTGAGAAATTAGCTGACGCCCGCAGGGAAAACAGGCGAAGAAAAACCATATAATTTCTCAGTGCAGCACAACCGAGCCATTTCTCTTTTTATACTTCAGCCTATCAACACGACCTGTAATGCTTTGCTCAATTTGGATTCAGAGGAAGCCAAAAATAGAGCAGTTAAATGTCAACATTAATGGTATCACAGCAGTAAAATATTTCTCACAGCAAGATGCCTGTCTTGTAGCTATTATTCACTAGTTGCCTCCTGTATTTTAGGCAAAAATGCAGCATGTCCTCTAAGCCACACAGCGTTACTTGCACCAAGAACCTACCAGCACAAATACTTGGAGATAGCAGTCCCAGGACTGTGACCCCTTCCTAGCAGGAATTACTCTGTCCCAAAGTTGTGAATACCTAAAAATCCAGATTAGTACCATGAACAAACTCTACACTTTGAGTTAGAGGTAGCCATTTCACTTTCTTTGTATAGTACCTAGCACTGTTGGTTTCTGCCTCTGATGCAAGTTTTTAGGAGCTCCTGTACTGCAAATATGTGGAGGAAATTTCGCTTTCCTCATGTCATAATGTTTTACAGGCAATAAGCACCCGATTTAGGGCAGTTCTGTGAACAAAACCCAAGATATATCAGGTGTATGTATGCTCATTGTAAGCCTGCTTAAACATAAATGCAGTCCATGGGTCTTAGACATGACAGAAGTGGTCCAAAAGGGGAGCAGCATGTTGTCTGGGACAGTTGTAACTGCGTTGTTTAGCACTGCTAATGAGCATCTGTTCCTGAGGGCCCGGGTTCACCACGTCAGAACTGCACCGCGCCATCGTTTCACATTGGGCTGGTTTCCATTGGACCCTGGCCTGGAGCCCTGCCCGTTCTAGCCTCAATCAGCCCCTGGAGCGAGGTCCCCGAGGCAGTCCGGCCACGCTGCCCTCGTCCGTGCTCAGGAGCAGCAGATGTGCATCCCCTGCGCAGGCGGTGGGACCATCCTGCAGGGCAGCAGTGCCAGCCCCTGGGCAGCCCCTCAGCCTCGTCATCCTCTGAGCTAACTGTGTCTCTGCTTCCAGGAGAGAAGTACGAGCTGCACGCGGGAACGGAGTCCACCCCCAGCGTGGTCGTGCACGTCTGCGACAGTGACATGGAAGACGACGAGGACCCAAAGAATTCTCCAAAGCCAAAAATCATTCAAACTCGTCGCCCTGGTCTGCCACCTCCTGTATCTAACTGAGCCTGGCCGGCAGAAGCAGCTCTTCTCTCCTCCAACACAGCTCTTGGTTTTTTGTTTGCTTTGTTTTATTGAAAGGCAGCCATTGCCTCGTGAGTACCAGAACATTAAGCTCATTGAAAATCCCTCACAGTAATCAAGCCTGCCTAACAAAAGGGCTAGGAAGAAAAGATCTTTGTATATGTAACCATATCGCACACCAACTACACTAACAGCTTTTCTGGCAAGGACACAAACAGGCTGGAGCAGGAAGGGTATCAGTCTGAGGACTTTTCACAGCTTTGATTTGCAGGCTGTAACAACAACACCAGAGAAGTCAGTTGGGATGAGGAAATAGGCTGATATTCAGACCCCTGCAATACTCACTGCTACCCTTCATCAAAGAGGCTCTTCCCTGCCCTCCTCATCCCCCAGCAGACCTTAGTCTTTTCCTTTTTTGCTATTTTCAGGAGGTGTGGAAGGTGGCTTATTTTTCGTTTGTTTTTTAATCTGCCATCAGTGTGGTGGCCTGAGGTTTTTCTTACGGGGCGCCATCTTTCCAACATCTTTGAGAAATGGGAGAAAAACACCCTCTACCCCCAAGTGCTGCAGAGACAACTGGTCCTTCATAGTGGTGGGGACTCCACCCAGGGCGCTCTGGGCTGAGGGGAGAGGGATCAGCCCTGCTGAAGGGTCCAGCATCTTCCAGTCCTCCCACAGTTATCAGTAGGAATTGACATTTTGTCTTCTGTAAAGATAAGAGTGGTACTTCTCTTTGAGAGAAAACGAGAAGCCTGACTGCTGATTTAAGGTGGGGTTTGTTGCTTGGTTGGGGCTGCAAGTTCTGCTGCTGATACAGGCTTCCTCGGTGTGTTGAATAGCCCTGAAACCCAATCAGTTGCACATCCCTAATAATTAGACCCTTTTCCCATCTGCTTCCTGTGCTTTAAAGCCCTTCTGGAGCTGTATGCAATTTGGGTTTGTGGAGGTGAGAAGAAATTAGTTGGTATTCTTAGTTGGTTTCTTTCCTTCTTTTTTATCCCCTCTATTTTACTTTATTTTTTTTTTTTTAGGCCAAAGAAAACAGGACCATAATCAAACACTTGAAATTAGACTGCATGAAATTGAATCCCTCCTTTTCACTACGTCCTGCATGTTTCTTTCTCTTGCTATGTATACTGGGTTATGAAAGTATTCCGTGTTTTCATCATGGCTGATAGCAGACAGATACTGGAGTGCCTGTCTGGTAGATCTTCCAAGATGATTTTTATGCGTTTTTGTCATTTTGAGATCACATTTCCTAGACATTTGAGCTCTGATTTTGCATATACTTAAGCATGCGCTTAACTTTATGCACATGAGTAGTTCCACTGAAATTTAATAGTGCAGAAAACTGAGCATACGTGTTAAGATACAGTGGGATTTTTATGCACAGGCTAATTAACTGCAGCATTACTCCCCAGAACGACTACAAAACGGCACGGTGAAATTCTTTGGTTTAAATTCTATTACAAGTTAAAATAAGTTAAAAAAAAATCTTGGAAGCTCATTGTAGGATCTGAAAAATCTGTTTAATTTCTGCAATCAAGATTTTGGCTTAAAAACTGTGGATTGGGTTTCTGAAGGAAGGTTCACTGCATTTCACTGTTAATTAATAAGGTTACAAAGCTTCAGGAGAAGCTTTTTGCTGTCCTTTTTGCTGTCTTGGCTCTGCGGTACTTCCAGGAAGAGAAAAGGCTGTTGTTTTGTCAGTGAAGTCGGGAGAAGCTGCTCTCATTATCCACAGTGAGGACATGCTGAGAGGTGAGGACTTCCCACTCTCCTATAGCTCATTCTGTCACCACCACTAGAGCCCTAATGTTCCTGGTGAAATGTAGAGCCTTACTTAGCGGATAACTGTAATGTGGTAGCTCTTAAAGCACTGTGCAGCTTGTGTACATGGCACTAACAGGAGCATGTGAAAGAGCGGAGAGTGAACAAGAAATGGGGCGTTAGTATCTCCATGATACCTGGAGTAAAGTTGTCTGAGAAGTAACTCCTTTGAGGGTTCACTGCAATTAATTTTCAGGGATGCATTTAGAATTAATTTCAATAATTTATCACTCACTACCCGAGCACTGTAAGGTGACGTTACTCTTGCAAATGCAGGCATAGGCCACCTATAATAACTTTAAATGTCTTTTTATAGAACATGCTGAGTGCTAATGCCCCTTGGCCACATCTCCTCAAGTGAAGCAGATGACTGATGATCATCACTATCAAAACTGATGCTTTGGAATTTTATATCTAAAAGTGTTAAGAGGGCTCAGTCTTGCCCTTGTCTCTATGTACTTGAACCTTGGAGAGATTTGGGTTGGAATTGAGTTAAGGACTTTTTGGCTCCCAGTGATTTAAAACTGTACTTCAAATAAACCATTGGATCTTATCTGTGCTTTTCCCAAAGCACGTTTGCAGACATAGGATTAAAAACAGGCCTGAATCAATGATTCTTACCTTTACAGAACTGAACAGTACTGTTTTGGAGGAGATAAAATAGCTTCATTGTGTAAAACACAGAAATGCAGTTAGGAGATTGAGAACTCTGGGAAGCCTGTTGTGACTAAGGTCGAAGTTTAAAAATCGCCCTTGTGTGGTAAAATACAGTCATCAAAGCAAAATCTTTCAGGTACTATAGAGTAACTTCTCTATCATAAAAGTAGCAGCATTTGTCATTGTCTTAACCTTGCATTTTGCTAGCAGCTGGCTCTTGCCTGCCTAAACTAAAGGCTTCTTTCAAAAAATGCTGAGCCTCTAGAAAAGGAGATTTCCTCTATAAATTCAGTAACTCGCATGCTGTCGGTCTGCCCAAAACGAAGCTGCCACCGACTTCACGGGGAGCTTCCCTTGGTATCGCAGCTCTGAGCTCAGCCTTCACTTTGCACGGGGGGTCTCTGCAGCGCTGAGGTAGATTCTGTGGTAACAATGTCATAAACGAGAGCGAAATCTCGTGGTTACGTTAGTGCCTCTGCTGCACAGTGATGGAGACGACGCCCTTCTCGTTGGCTTTCCGAGCACGAGCCCGAGCAAGACTCCTCAGTGCAGCTAAAAGCCCAGAAACGCCGCAGTGCTCAGAGCGGGGCATTGCAGAATTTGTGGAATATGCAAAGGAAGAATTTCTGTGGCCTTGGCCTTTTTTGTTTTGTAATTAAGACAAGCTAATGCAAGCCCTGCCTCTGCACATATACACACTCACAAACGACTTGTTTTCAGCCAGAAAATAGAGCAAGAGCATCCCTGCTGCAAACTCGAACAATACACGCATAGTCATGGTGAAGTGCTTTATTTTACAAAAATGTGTCCCATGGCTAAAATGCAGTCCATTTATTCAATATTTGCTCCTAAATAAAGTGGATTTTTTTCTTCTTTTTTTCTTTTTTCTTTTTCCTTTTTTTTTTTCCATGGGTGACAGTGAAAAGGTTTTCTGGAAGAAGAGAGACTGTTCTCTGTATGGAATGATAACTGACTGAACTGTCTTTTGTAAAACTTACAAAAAGTGTAACACTGTGACAGTTTATGTTAGGATTTCCATCATATTGTACATACTTTTGAGATACTCTATTTAGTCAAATTTTATAGGAGTATTGAGCTAGTTGATCACTTTTGCACTTGTATAATTAAGAGCTTAGTTTCAAGAATAAATATGGCAAATGATTTTTGTCTTCTGCTTGCCTTGGCGTTTTGAAAAACAACATTTAAGAAAGTGGAACCATGTTAATAAACTGACTAGTGTGATATACAGCACTGCTCTCTTAACTAATAGATCTGAAACTGCTTAAATGCATGACAGGCCAAACTGTTTCATTAGGAATTGGGAAACTGGAGGGGAAGAGAGGGGGAAATAGGGGAGGAAGCCCTCTGGTTTGCAGGATTTGCCAAATTCCATTTTAAGCTGCTGCAGTACCCAGTGAGTCATGTGAAGCTGCACTGGTTCTATGTGAATTTGGCTACGTGTATGAAAATACAAACAAAAACAGAAAAAACCCTGCACCATCCAGGTGATCAAAAATACATCTCTGCCAGCTGGAGTGGTTCTCCCTGTACTCCTGTAATAACGGATACACATAATGGGTGTGTGTATTTAAATCGGTATATGACACCAGTAATAGGACAACCAACTAATGCCCAAACTGAGAGAAAAAAAATTAGCATTAATTATATAAAAACAGGGAAGTTGTCGTTTGTAGCAGTTATGTTTGTGATTTTTGCCTAAAGGAGCTGTTTCTCAAAGGATGGTTATTCACGATTCTGAAAATTAGATCCCTTTAAAGTGTCATAAAAGTGCTCAGCTCCGATTCCTTTGTGAAAAGACAAGCCTTAACTGCCAGGTTTTGATTAGAAAAAGTTTGAATACTCATCTTTTTACAGAGAACTTTGGAATCGGGAGCCAGATTATTCTGTATCCTTGGGGAAAGCTCTTTTCCAAGTGAGTTTTCCCCAACCACAGCAGGGTTTTTTATCTGATCCGACTGAAACCCTGTATTACCGACCTGCTGCTTGTGGTTCTTCTGTCTTGCTGAGCACTGGATTCGCTGCCTGAAAATAACCCTGAAGCCGCTGGGAGGGCTGCAGGTGCCAAAGGGTTTCAGGCAGGTCTTTGGCTGAGGACACGAATGGCTGTCTGAATGTAGCTCCAGTGAGCCCTCAACCTGTACACACACACACGGGCAGTATTTATTTATACCGGCACTTTGTGCACGCAAGCGGATGTGCGGCCTAACCCTGCAGGTGTCAAGTGACGGGAGTTACGGCTATTTCTCTCATCCATTTCTTGGATGAGGCGATTTAAGTAGGTTATTACGGATGGATAACTTTGGTTAGCAGTAAACAAACTCACTTCTGTTCCTTCTTGCAAAATGTAAACATTTTACCTCAAAACATCCACATGCAACTTCTTTTTCAGACATTGGTGTGAATTGAAGATCTTTGTACTTCCTTGTTTCCCTTCTACCCAGGAAATCCTATTTAGCTCTGTTTCACCCAAAAGGAAATCCAGGTCTGGATTAAAGTTCGGCACAGACCCTGGCTTAAATCCATCCTCTTTGAATAACTAACTAGTCATGCTATCAAAAGCATCAGAACTTTATTTTTCCTTGTTTTGACATGTCTTCTGGGGGTTCTGCTTCCCATGTGCCCACTTGCAGCATCTGCAGCTGAGCCGGGGCGTTTGTTTTGGCCTGCAGGGCCACAGGGAGAACTACAGCAGCTCTCGCACTGGAAAGGCCAGAACTTCTCATGCCTTGGCTGCGGATGCTTGAAAAGCATTTAAAAATAAAGCCTTAACTTACCTCTCCCTTTCCTTAGTTGCTTTATCAACTTGCTCAGCTGCTACACGGAGGTTCTGGAGCTGCAGTAGGTGCCACCCAGGGTTTCTTTAATTGTACCAGTGCAGTGGCTGCAAGTCCTGCAATCTGGGACGTTTATAAGTGGGGTTCTTGCTAGAGAAATGAAGACATTCAGGACATTAAGACAGATTTTAAACTTAAGTGAGTGATTGCTATATAAAAAGAGCCCATTTGCTATCTGTGAGTCAGGGGCTTCCTCACCCACCTCAGTAAGAGTATCCAGCAAGAAAGATTAAACTTCTCTATACACCAGAAAACCAGATTTGTTCTAATAAATCACTGTAACTGATCATTAATCTAGTACAAGAGATTTGTGTCTACATTTGTGCCACAAAGATGTGTTCTTGTCACTATTCAGTTAATGAAAGTAGATGTTTTGAATCCATTTTAGAGCAGAGTTCTTGTTCAGAAACGTGAAAGGAGTATGTGATCCGTAATGACTGACGGATCCTTAAATGTTGATTTGGCAAGTTGTCCTACTGTACGTAGCTGCGGAAATATTTCATGTATGTTGTTGTAGATTTGAAACCATTAATCCTGTTCTCATTCAAGTGTCTGCATTTCTGACACAGATGTGACATATCTGTATATATTATAAATCAATACTATTTTTAACCATATATTTTGTACAAATATGCACATTAGCTCTGTACTTCAGTGAAAATCTATTATGGTATTAAACATTTTGGTGGAATTAGCAAACCCCTTGCCTGTGCTTTATTTTCTTCATATTATTGTGGCAGTTTTAAACGCCCTAGGTATTTCTTACACCCAAGATGTTCATATTATGTTCATATTGTTGTTCATATTGTTCATATTGTTGTTCATATTGTTGTTCATATTATTGTTCATATTATTGTGGCAGTTTTAAACGCCCTAGGTATTTCTTACACCCAAGATGAGTACTACTGTTTCCAGCTGCTCCTAATGGTACCGTAAATCCATAGGCACCTGCTTTTCTCCCTCTAGTGACTAGTTCCAGCCACTGCAAAGCTCACGGGTCACTTTAGTTCCTCAGAGCTTGCGATCTGAGTGATGAAAGGCTAAAGTTGACGTAAACATAAATAATATTTTTAACTGCTAATGTGAGGCAGTAAATTGCTGTTGAAGGGCACCTAACAATGGATTTTGCAATAGCAATGCAATTTTATAATTCTTTTAAAAATCTTTTTATTTTTGCTGATGCTTCTGACGATGGTTGCTGTCAGCAACAGGCTGATAACGTTTTTGCTAGGGCTGTGGTGTAGTTCTGTACAAAAGCCACATCCTTTCTGTGAAGGTAACGCCCTTGTTTATAAAATTCACGCAGGCTGGTGGGTGAGCAGATCTTCCATGCACCAAGCTTGAGCCTTCCCGCATGAGCCGGGCTGGCTCAAACTCATGAAGCCAACTGTAACTTCATATAAAAACGAAGGATGCGAGCTGGAATCTGTCGCTGGATTACAGCCTTTACACAGGTTATGTGTAACACTTTTCCACCTGCTCACTAGTAATTTACTGTTTTGGAAATGCGAAGCCTAGAGCAGGTTACCACAGACAAGACAGTACAGAGTAGGCAAGAACTAAGAACTGACAGTATCTTTGTATTTTAACTGATGAGTAAACAGTTGTGCACAGCCTTGATTGTACTCTTTCTTCAACAGCTGGTAGTCAAGTTTGTTTGCTCCAGAAGGACACACATTTGGCAGGACTGGCTACAGAGTGACTAAAAATGATCTACTTCTGTTAAACTGAAGAGGCACTCGCAGATATTCAGGAATGAAAAGCGAATTTTGCTCCTTGTATTTACAGGCAGTTCACAGTATGATTGGCCTCCCTTTTCCCGTGTTTGTTTAAAATGACTCCAGGCCAGGCAGCGAGGCCATGCCCCTATATTGCCTACATTCACGTCTAAACACAAGCAGCCTTAGCAGTGACCGATACAAGAAAAATTACCCCTAAAAGACGGAGAAAATTGACATTCCCCCTCCTGTGGCGCATGCGCCGCGCTCCGGTGACCGTTACTCCGGGTTGAGTGACAGCGCTGCTGGCCAATCACAGCGGGGCGACCTCCGCCCCTTTCCAAGTGAATGACAGCACTTCTGGCCAATCACAGCCTCGCGGCTCCCCGCCCTCCCCCGGTGCCCGTTGCTCCGAGTTGAGTGACAGCACCTATGACCAATCACAGCGGAGCGGCCCCCTCCCCGCCTTGGGAGAGAGTAACTCCGGATTGAATGACAGCACTTCTGGCCAATCACAGCGGGTGGCCCCCCGCCCTCCCCCCGGTGACCGTTACTCTGGGATGAAAAGGCGCTGCCGTGACAGCGGCCCGGGCTGCAGGCGGGGAGAGGCCCCGGGCGGGAGGAGAGCGCGGCTCGCCCTGGCCGGGCCAGACCAGCGAAGCGGGACCTTAAAAATACGTAACTTGCTCTGTTAAAAAATAGACAGTTGAAAGAGTAGGTGCTGCGGCCCCCTCTAGGTAGGTAAAGCTCAGCAGTAAGTGCCTCGTTTCACTGCAGAGCGCTCGAATTCGGAGCTGCAGCTCCCCGGAGTGGGGAATTATGACTCGCCACGGGGTGAGTTAAGTGGAAGTGCGAGAGAGGAGACACGGGTCGTTCTCCCGTTCCTCTTCGAGGTTCCCTAAGGGAAATTGTGCACGGGGCGAAGCTGCGGGAGCAGAATGAGGTAGCGCTGGCGCTGCGGTTTGTGCTAAAAGAGGAAACACGCCTCTGAAGGGTCACTTAACTGTGATAGGGCTGTATTTAGTTTGGGAACGTATTAAACTTAGGAGTAACATTTGGCTGCCTGAAGCTTTTTTAAAAAAAAAATTTAGAATTATATGTGAGAGGTTTAGGCGGGAAATTGGAGGGAATAGGAAAACTTCCCATGGAAAATACTGCCAAAATGTGTGCTGCCAAAATGGCAGCTGCATCGTTGTAGTGGTATTTGGATGCTTGTCGCTGTGCAACTTTTCATATTAACTAGCTGTGTATGTGGCCAGGATGTTAATATGGATTTACTAGTAATACAGGCAGTTTCCCAGCTAAATTTTAGTGGTGTTTAGTTCTAGAGGATTCTTGAGAAATGGGCACATAAAGGATGTGTGGGTGAGTATCACTACTGTCCACCTGCAGGCGCGGTTTAACAGCACCTACTCTTATGGCTAAATTATGTCTTTAACCAAGAAATGGGTAATAATAGCCTGAATTTTATAAAAGTTGCAAATACAGAAGTTTTCCTGGGAAGGGGCTTATAGGAAATATGTTCTTGCTTGTGATTGGATTAACTATGTTATGAATAAGGAAGTAAGTTTGGAAAGAGGGAAGGATATTTGTTGAGAAAATTAAACCCGTGGTGAATCATGAAGATAATATAATTTTATATGAGACTACAGATATCTCATGCTATTAGGTAAGCAGTGGCAGTGACAGGGAAGAACAGTCAATATCCTTGAGTCAAGTGATCAGACTTAATGCCAAAATTATATCTAGGCTACATAGTGCTTTAGGGTGCATAGTGGTCACTAACTCTTGCAGACCATAGGTGGGATTTGAATTATATTTTGTGTTTCTTGTTTTGTTCCTGCTGGTTGTGCTCAGTTGTCAGTAGCCTTTGATTGGAAAGGACAAACAATGTTATTTTTGCTTGTGGGACAGTTGTGTGGCTGCCGGCCACATGATGCACTTCTGATATTTTTCAACAACCTCTTTCCAATAACTAAGTGGTCAGTTCCAGGAACCTGACTGCATGCTGACTTGTATAACTTGCATGCATTGTTATTGCTAAAGTTATGGAGCAATGACATTTGGAAGTAAAATTCAAAGGTTGCTGACTGTGAAGAGTTCAGTTACATAGGAAAATTATGGTCAGGTGCTTATCTATCTCCAGATAAGATGCTGACATTCATGCTGTTTGGTTGAAACTCATAAAAACCTTTTAATGGATCTAAGGGCTGTGTCTGAAATGCAAAACTTACTTGATAATTTCACCATTACAGATTGTCCTGGCCATATGTAATAATCCCATACAGGGTGTCGGGATGAGAAACTTAGCTGGGGATTTAGCAGGTAGCTCCTCACTGGTGAGAACCGCGCAGGCACAGAGTGCTCCAGTTCCAGCGTGTGCTTCCCCTTCCTGTTGGCCAGGCTAACCTGGTGCTAGCACATGTGTCACACTGGCACAGAAGGGAAGCAGTGCTGTGCTCAAAAGACAACTGGCAGTTTTAAAATTCTGGTGGGAATGGACTTTATTATTCTCAAGGTGAGAACTGCCCCTTGCTTTAAGTGCTACCAACCAGAAGTTTTCTCTTAGGACAGTTTCTTACTTTAAATATAGAAAATGCTCAAGAATTTCTCAAACTGTGAGAGAAGAGTTCCTGTGTATTTGGGAGGAGAGAAGAAGGAAAATGAGCACCCGCCACCAGATGGGTGCTGTTTAAAGCAGTGACTGCAAGCTATATTGTTGACAGGCTGTTTCTTTCAACAGATAGTAGAATGACAGTTCCCTGTCTGTAAAACAGGGATATTAATACATCTGATAAGTGCATAGACTCATTCTTATGTTTGAAGCACTTGGCATCAGTAAGGCAAGTTGCATAAGTAAACAAGTGATATTTAAGTTACTCATTTTTAAACTAAGCTATCATTTTGACAGCCAGGTTAACACAAGTCTTCTGTCTCTACCCTGCAGGTACCATGTTGCCTCAGGAGAGAGGAAGAACACCTTCCAGAATAGCTGCGAGCTGTTCCTGGACAGCCTTGGCAGTTTGCTTACTGTTTCTTCCAGCTGCATTTCCTCTCCAGCAAGACCGGCCCCAAGTGTTGTTAGTGTCTTTTGATGGATTCCGATGGGATTACATCTACAGAGTACCAACTCCCAATTTTCATTATGCCATGAAGAACGGCGTTCATGTCAAACAGGTCACTAATGTGTTCATAACTAAAACGTACCCTAACCATTACACAATGGTGACGGGTCTGTACGCAGAAAGCCACGGCATAGTTGCTAATGAGATGTATGATCCAACTCTGAATGAAACTTTCTCCATGAACAGAATGGAGATCTATAACTCGAAGTTCTGGGAAGAGGCCAGTCCAATATGGGTAACGAACCAGATGGAAGGGCATAAAAGCGGAGCTGCCATGTGGCCTGGAACAGATGTGAAAATACACGGAGTCCTCCCTACGCATTATATGCCCTACAATGAATCCGTTTCGTTTGAAGACAGAGTTGCTAGGCTTATTGACTGGTTTACATCGGAAGAACCTATAAACCTTGGTCTCCTCTACTGGGAACAGCCTGATGAGATGGGTCATATTCTGGGCCCAGAAAACCCTCTTATGGGACCAGTAATTAGTGATATTGACAAGAAGCTCGGGTATCTTATATCTGAACTGAAGAAGGCGAAGCTCTGGGGTGTGGTAAATGTCATAATCACAAGTGATCATGGAATGTCGCAGTCCTCCTCTGAAAGGCTCATTGAACTTGATCAGTATGTGGATAGAGAGCTTTATAAAGTGATTGACTATTCTCCTGCAGTAGCGATTTTGCCAAAAGAAGGTAGGAGCTATAGCTCTATATTCTCTGAAGAAAATGCTACCAAGACGTCTCCTGGCTTCATTCCCTAATTGATGTAACAGTAGCTGCAAGTAGGACATGAGCCTTAAATAGGGAGATTTTGCAGGATCACTTCCTTGTTCTTTTTCCTAGCACTCTGTAAAGCTTGAATTAATATACAGGAATGGAAAGTGGCCAAATCTGTCACTTGTGGCAGATCTGTGTGTTGTTGACTACTTAAAATATCCTGTAGTCCTCCTGAGAAATAAGATAATCTAAGAGCTTTATATAGGATGAATGCCGTTCTAGATAGATAACCAATTGGATTTTGTGTACCTTGCCTTTCAGCTAGATGCTATAGCCTTAGCTAAAGAATTAGATTTCATCTCAAACTGTAAGCTGAAACCAGATGGGACCTTATAACAAAGCCTGCACTGGTCATTCTGTTACCTAGGAGCTGTTTCATAATTCTGATTTGTTTATTTTTTCCACATTTCATGTCAAATAGACAACCAATTCTGTTCATACTGTTTACTTGGAAATGCTGGTGCGCGAATGACCTGACAGCTTCATTTGCTGCTTCAGATGCTCATGTGCATGCAGCTATATGCCAGTTGTCAGTGGTGCTGTGAGAACTGAGTTTGGGAACACTGTGGGTATAACACCATGGTGGTGCTAGTGGTAGCATGGTAATGCTGCCTAGAATGTGCTTATTAACGAAAGAAAGGAATTTTAAAAGTAAACTTAATGCTGAGACATCTCTAATGTATTAAATGAGAACTCTTAAAGCTGTGTAATCTGATTCTCCTCTCTCATAAAAATGCCAGAAAATAATAGCTTCTCTGCAGCAGTCCAGGAGTGAATAGGAAAAGGCTCTTTGACTTACGAGAGCATCTGTCGTGCGAGGAGAGGCTGAGAGAGCTGGGACTGCTTTGCCTGAAGAAAGGGAGGCTCAGAGGGCTTTTATCAATGTTTGTAAACATGTGGTGCAAGGGTGTAAAGAATAGAGCCAGACTCTGCTCAGTGCAGAACAAACTGAAACACAGGGCATGCAGTTTGAACGTAAGAAAACTGTGTTTTTACTGGGAGGTCAGTTGAATGCTGGAATGGGTGGCCCAGAGAGCTGTAGAGGCTCCCTCTTCAGAGATGCTTAGAACCAGACTGGAAGTGAGCAACCTGCCCTTGTTCACTCTGCTCTGAGCAGGTGGATTGAACTAAATGATCTCCAGAAGGCTCTTCCAACCGTAACTATTCTGTTATTTTGTAATGGACTACACAAATAGCTTTTTCCTAGAGGTTCTGATACTTATTATACACTATTAGTAAACTAGAATTAGCCCTGAACATAGCTAAGATTACATCCTTCTTCTTTACCAAACTACAACAATTTCATTAAAAAGCAAGATGCTTTATTCTCAGTCCAGTTATGAAAATAGCATTAATGTAAATACATAATGCTGATTCTTAAACACATTATTCCATTTGTCTTGCTTAAACCAGGGAATTGGTAAAATTTCTTAAGACATTCAAAAAAGTTTTGAACACTTAAAACAGATTTCTGCTACTCTGGCTCTATGTTTCTTACCTAGGAGATGGGTTAGAGCAGTCTAGCAAATGCCTTCTGTCTTACCATTAAACATTGCTTGGAATCATTATGAAATATTAACAAAAATACTATTGAACAGATAAACCTTATGGTAATCACTAAATGTAACAGTTTAGTGTGCTTTTTTAGTTTTGTAGTAAACTAAAATATTCTATGAAGCAAAATAGACAGTTTGCAGATAAAAACCTTAGTTATGTACAAAAAAATGAAAGTTGGATTGTCACAAGCTAGCTTACCACAGCGACTGGCACCCCCCCCCCCCCCCCAAAAAAAAACTTTCACTTAATATGTTATTATAGTTAAAGTAGGGCAGTAACTCAGTGTACTGCATTCAGAGGTTCTTCCTCCCTGTTATCCCAAATAGGAAGCTGGCATGAGTAAATGTATTTTTGTACTAATCTAGTATTTCTAAGACTAAATTAGTTTGAGAGGGGAAACATTATATATTAAATGAATTGGGTTTCCCCCAGCATTTATACTGAACTGTGGAAACTGAAAGAGAAAGCAAAGACTGTTTAAAGACACTGGAGTCTAAAAATAAAAATCCTGAGAGATATTCAAAACCACATACATGCTGTAAATGGTAGACTGGTTTTTGCCCCTGGTTTCCTTCAGGAGATGTCTAAGGTCAGACTAAGGACTTGTTCTAGCACCTGTAGGCAGGAGTTTTCTGGGACACAGAGTTGCAGAACTACTAGCTCATGGAAACACCCGCAGCAGGATGCACAGCTACGTGTGAAGGCAGAACGTGCTCAAAGCGATAGGTCAGAATGACAGGATGTGCTTAAATCCCAGCACATCTGCTAAAAATATCATATTGGCCACAGAGAAAATATAGCCTTTTTACAGCCTTGTTTCAGACCTTGTAGTGCTCAAATGCGGCTTCGCAGACCAGCTGGGAACTTAGCTCTCTGCCTTAGCTATGCACGCGTGCAGCACAAAGCATTTAAATAACTCGTGCAGCAGAGGTTTCCTGTCTGGTTGCAGTAAGAAATGTTGCTGCTCGTCACAGCTAAGTGTGGGGAAGCTGCAGTATGGCCCTAAAGCAGAAATAACCTCGGAAACTGTTTTGAGAGTTCACTTGGCACTCGGGAGCACTGCTTTTTTCCATGGGACTGAATGCCTTTTAACTGCAGTTCTTGTGAAAAGCCTTACATTCTGACAACTATGTAATGAGGGATTTTTTTCTAAAATTAGGAAGAAAGCTACTAGCCAGAAACAGACTGTTAGAATCGCAGAATGGTTGAGGTTGGAAGGGACCTCTAGAGACCATCTAGTCCAACGCCCCTGCTCAAGCATGACAGGTCTGATGCTGAGTGAATTCTGTGAATGTCATTCTAGATTTCTCACATAGGAACTTCAGTAAACATCGTTATTATCTTCTTTCTCCTGAAAATTTAATTACTGATCAGTTTGGTAAACATGTTTACTAAAACATATTTTAAGGTATTCTTGTTTGTTTGTTCTTTTGAAGGAAAACTGGATGAAGTCTATGAAGCTCTGGTCAATGCTCATCCCAGCATGACTGTTTATAAGAAGGAGCAGATTCCAAATAGATTACATTACAAGCACAACAGCAAAATTCAGCCAATCTTAGCACTGGCTGATAAAGGATGGGAAATTGTACACAATAAGTCCGACCGTTTTCTGTGTGAGTATTCTGCATCCATAGTGTTTTGTTGTATCTATCTTCTCTGTCAGGTACCTTACGTGATAGTTTCTCTCCTGACCTCAAACAATGTTAAATGTTTAAACTCAGGAGAGAGAACTATGACACAAATTATGTAGAGTTTACTTTATTTTTGTTTCCTAATGAAATAGGAAGCACCCACCTATTGTGAGGAGGGGAGTGGACTTTATGTTTCTGCAGTTAAATTTACTGACTTAAGATCATTCATATGTTTTAGTAATCTTATACTTGAGGTCTTCTGGAAAGATCTAGCAAAATGATAAGCACTTCCTGAGAGATAAGAAATCTTTAAAAACATACTGAAGAGAGAGTTAAAGCATTTTTTATGCTGTACTCTGCGTTTTATGATTTCTCTTTCTTTGGAGGGCCTGAAATAATGGATGAAGGTTTGGTTGCAACATTTTGCCCCATAGGATGAGATTTCATCATCACTCTAGATAATTTTGCTGCTGTTTATGAAGCTGAAGAGTGTTACCTGCAAGAGCCAAGTTATTCAGCTGTTGACACTTGATAGGGGCTGCTGTTCTTAGCTATGTGTTTACATACTCATTCTGAGTGCCCCTGTAAGGAAAGGGCACTGAACACTTGATAGTGAGATCTGTAAACTTTTCTTGCTAATTGGTGCACAGTACACAACACCAGACAGGGTGTCAAGGCCCTCAGAACTAAAGGTTTGTCTGCTATGAAGCATCAAGCAGAGTCTATTTGGCCTTTTTTTCTCTAACAAACAAATTTGGTCCTGTTGCAGAGTGAGAGTCTTTCCTTGAGCAGAATGAAGGAAGCTTACATCTAGAATACCCTTGGCAAAGAACTTAGCTGGGTTTTTTTGTTTATTTTTTCTAGAGCTCTCCGTTCTCTTTATAGTGTTTTCATTTTTCTGTGACTTGGTATTTGCATCATTAATGAAAATTATTCTGTCAAACCTTTATAGCATAAATGAGGATGGCTGTTCCTTTTCTGTGTATGCTGATTCTGGAAGAAGGTTCACTGCTTGTTCTGCAATTTCAGAATATTGACTTTTATCCTTCTTTTCTTTCCAGTGGGTAATCATGGATACGACAACATCTTACCAGAAATGCATCCAATCTTTCTGGCATTTGGACCGGCTTTCAGAACAAATGCCACCAAAGAAGCCATGAATGCTACAGACTTGTACCCTCTCATGTGCCACCTACTTGGTATTCCCCCCCTGCCGAACAACGGGTCGTTCCAAGATGTGAAAGATATTCTTGCTGAGGTGGTTCCAAGCTGGCCTCATCCTGAAGCCCGTGAAACAGAGTCCTATGCTTACTTCATAGGAGTCTCTCTTGGCGGCATTCTTGTTCTGTTTTTCCTTTTTGTTTTTGTTAAGCATTTAACCCGCAGCCAGATAAATACCATGCGACTGCAACATACTGAAATTGCCCAGCCACTATTACAAGATTAGTAGAATTGCTAGTGAAGGCACCATAAAGATTTGGTGCTTTATCCTGTTTGGCACTTTAAAGAAAGCTTCTACGAAATTAAGTGGCTCTGCAGAAATATGTGGAGTAAACCAAAAAGGGCACTGATCCCTTCGAACACTGGAGTACATAAATATCAGGTACATAGAGAAAGAGCGTGTTTCTGTTTCACTCTACAACCACTTAATCTTTCAGGGTTTGAGAATATTCTGGGTAAAACTGGAAAGCTATATATGTATCTCTGTACATATAGGATACATGTAGTAGCAACAGACCTTGAATACCCCATGGTGAACTGCTGACAGGGAAGTAACATCAGCTGAGCAACATGAATATTGCATGATGATTTACGTTCTTTTTTTCTCAGCAAGCTTTTAAGCCTCAGATTCTAACAAATCACTGGCTGGTTGGACTGTGCATTTGAGATTTCCCAGCCCAAGGAAGATGTGTTATAGATCACCATTAGAGATAGCTGGGTGGATTAAATCCTACAGAATACAACATTTAGAGAAGTCACATATAGTGCTAAGTTAGAGCTAGGCATGTTTTCTTCTGAGTCCTGTGTAAATTGTAGCACCTGTAATATTAATGTAGGTGGTACTGCCTTTAGCAATCAACATTTAACTACCTGATTAATATAGTTCTAGGTAAATGTAGCTCTTCACTTTATTTCTTTTACACTGGACTAAGTTTTCTTGGAGTTACTGTGGTTGTCAGATTAAAGACACAAATGAGCACAACGCCCATATATCCAAATGGAGTCCGTGGTATTTCTGTGATCAGTGGGCTCTTTCTGAAGGAGGCTAGTGGGGCAGTTAGTTAGTTAAGAAACACGCTGCACAAGCTTTTTTGAGGGCTGCAAAGCTCCCTCACTAGGTGAGGTCAGATCCAAAGCTTCACTAGGTGAAATCATATCCATCACCGAAGACAATTTGTTAGGGTGAGCTTGCCTCCTGTCTGCTGTTTTATATGATACGTGCGGGTGAGCCCTTGAAGCTTTGATTAATACCTCTAAAGACCAGACACACAATTTCAAGGGGCGGTCTTATAAAATGTACTCTTAAATCTGAAGAAAAAGAAAAAAAAAGGCTTTAGTATGAAATAAGGCATAGGAGATTATGTTGAATTTAATAAGATAGAAGACTGTTTTTCTGGGAGAAATGTGTATTTGGAAAAGCAATCCTAAATTGGACAGAGCTGTAAATTACTCTGATTCTTTTGCGGGGGTTGCTGAAGTAAATCTTTTGTCTATTGCACCTTTTTTTTCTGTTGGGCTCTCTTAAATGAGAGGTGAGAAGCTGCTAAGTTTTCTGTGAAAGAGGTGGTAAGTGGAAAAAAAACTTTTCTAGTTGTTAGATTTCAAAAACTGATTTTCTTTTCTCTCTGAGTAGTATTTGTCTGTGTGTTTTGCTTCTGAATACAGTACATGAAGGAGAAAAAAAAATCTTTCCAAATTGACTCAAATATTCAGCCCAGTATTTCCGTAAGTGCAATTTATCAGTACATGCACATGCTAGTGCTTTATTTGAAAACTGGATTATACCTTCCTCTAAACAGTGGAAACAACTTCATCCACAGCCCTTATTAGAGGGCAGAGATAAGAACATCGTGGCCTTGGATAGTCGGTGTGTCAAGAGAAACTAGTGATGTGACAGTGAAAAAGTGACTAACTGAAATCCCAAATTCATTCTGCTCAACTGAATTCTAGACTCATCAGAGGATGATGTCTAAGTGGGTTCACATGGGGATTCCACTTCTTGCTGCCTTAGTGATGATGCCACTGTGCCGTGATACTTCTGACAGAGTGAGCACTGGGCGCTTTGTCATCCCCTGGATTCCTCGGTGGTTGCAGAGACACCTGGAGAACATCAAGCTCTGATGTGGCAAGTTTGCAGAGGCCACAGCTAAATACAGTGAAGGCTTGAGAGGGAAGGCAATGAAGTACATGAATGTCTTAAGGTAAAGGCTGAAAATCTAACATGTTGTATCTTTAAATGTCAGGAAACTATCAAATGTTTTGGTGCTTAATTTTGGGATACAGATTACTGTGTACTGTAATCTGAGTCATCTCTGCAGTTACTCATGTCGGGGTACTGGTTGGTGTTCCTGCGTGCCCATTCTCTTAACAAAACACTGGAGGAAAGCCTCTGAGATAGATAGCCGTGCCTGACGTAAAAACTCATCCCCAATGAAGCAGACTGCTTACTCAGCCTTAAGTCTGATTTGTTGACACCAATTCAGACTGAATGCACAGCTAGAGAAGGAGCAGGTTGAAAGATGAATTCAGAAATAATGTTCACAGCAATCTGTAGAGAAGCTTGGGAAGTCCAAGTAGCAAAATCTAGATTTCTGGATCCTTCCTCATCTTCCCTAGCTTTCTTCCAAGAAATGGGTGGCAGAGGGCAATTAATGTATTGATTCTACATTTTCTTTCTTATTTGCATCTTTAAAACTTTAGTAAGCAAGCACAAAATCTGTGTATTCCAATTTAAAGAAAGATAACAGTTTGGGTGAAGAGGAAAACAATAAATGGCTGAGATGGGCTGAGTCCATAATTCCTTCCTGCTTCCAGGAGCTTCATCAGCTCCTCACTTTGGAGCATGTGACTTTACTAGAAATTTCCTAGTGATGTTTATTGCAGATGTTAAATTATGCTCCAATCTTTAAGGGGCAAAGTTGCTCAGTGTTAGTCATGCTACCATCTGTGTCCTACCTCCCGAACACGTGACAAGGGAAGTACATTTCCATTCTCTCTGCTTTTGGGAACAGAATATCCAAAATAGGAATGCAAGCGTGAGAATTCTCTTTGGTTTTGTTCTGTATTGCACTGCGAGGCCTTTTTGAAGAGGGTAAAATGACACTTTATAGAAAACAGAAATTTTTCAGCAGTTGAGTATTTTGGTTTAGGTTAAAGCACATTTCTTATTGCAGTGGTGTCTCTGTAAATAACCTCTTAGGTAGTTACCTTGCCAGGGTGTTTACCTTAAACACTGCTTCAAGCTAGTGTGTGTGATTACTGAACATAAAAGCACCTTTGTACCACTGGGGAAAAGAACAACTTTTCAGACTTGTGATGGGAGGTTCTTTGGAGTTTACTTTTCTAGCAGGAGGGGAGGAGGACATAGGATTTAGAGAAAAAACATCTATTTGGTGCCTTTTGGATTTATAAACAAGTTTGTCAGAAAGGGGGTTTGAATATACAATATATTGGCTTCTAGCTAAAGTTGGGGGGTTGAAAAGATTGCATGATTCTGCACTGCTTTACAGAGCTCTGGAACATCTCCTTTTTCTGCTTGGAAATGTCAAAGTCAAAATAATATATTTGCTATGTGCTATCAAACATTGTGTGATTGCTTCATTTACAGTAATTCTGGAATGAGTTTCCATTTTGGAGGAAGGGCTGGTAGAGACCTTACACCACATACACCCCAAATATTTCTAATATTCTGCACCATGCAAACTTTATTCAAGATATCTGTGTGATACAACTTTAAGAATTCTAGGTGAGAATTTTTATAGGAAAGAGTTCTTGCTCCCAACTTTCCTAACACTTAAGAGAAATCATAGGTCACTGTTACCAATAGTCTTAATATAGCTTCTTAAGAAAGCTGGAGAGAATGTTTTGGTAAAAATCTGTGCTAGACTATCTGCTCTGAATTCATTTCAGTTCTCAAGGTCACTGCTGCTTATTTTGAACTAAGGATGGTACCATGTATATGTGTAAAGTCACTAGTTTATTTTCCTAAGTGGTGCATCCTTTTGCTACAAGCCCAGCACAAGGATTTGCTAATCTATAGTTAGCTGAGCTCAGTTCAATTCTGGCACTTCAGCTGGTGCTCTGCACCTGCCTTTATAGACAACACTGAGACCTCACAAATGGCTCTGTGGCTTCAAACATTCATGCTCTTTTAGACTTCCATGCTGTAGCTTAAACTACCATCTACCTCTTCCCCCCCAATTTAGGCCAGGTGAAAGACTGGGAAGTCCCACCACTTAATTCCATTCATAATCTTTAAAGCTTTTCACCTGTCCCCCAGACCACTCTTCACAGTCTGTGCCAAAGGAAGGAGGAGTAACAGGCCAGTAAGTGCTGCTGATAGTGCAGCTCAGGCTCTGCTTTCACAGCAGTTAGGCAGAGGGCCTTGCAAGCCCTGGCACACATGCTACCTTGAGCCAGAGGGCACAGTGCATTTGCACAGGCCCAGCTGTCTCCTTCTGTAACACTATTTATACTTCAAGATGGAATACTACTGCTGCCCTTGCTTCAGCATTTATTTTTTGATAATTTAAAATAGTGGCAATAACTTTTAACTGTGACCCAATAATGGTGTAAAGCACTAGGAAAACTGAAAGTACCTTAATCATGTAGTGCAAGACTGAACAGTTCTGGGGGAAGGAGGGGTAGGAAAGAACAGAGTAGAACATTTTCTCTGCTGGCTTGTTTTACTTCCAAGGAAAAAGCTCAAGCTTTGACCACAGTAGGGGTGGATCTTGCCCATACTGCCAGAAAGATGAAGCAACTTTTACTCCATATACAGAAGAGGCAGAGCAGCTCCCATGCAGCCTCCTGTCACCCTGCAAGAATGGCAGCTTTTATTCAGCAAAGTCTGAGGAAACTCTCCCAGATGGGAAGATGCCCTAAGCTCTTCCTTTTTCACAGCACTTTGATTTCAGCCCTGCAAAGCGCTTGTTAGACTCATTAACTTGACCTGTTACACTAGGCAATAAGGTATTTCAAATCTTCCACCAGGGGGAAAAAAAAAAAAAAAAAAAAAATGAATCCCATGTTCAGTACAGATTTTTCAAGGGGCCTGAGTTCAGAGTAGAAAGTTATTGAGGAAGGAGCAGTCAACAAGTAGTAGCACAGGCTTTTTTTTTTTTTTTTTTTTTTTTGAAACATTTGTCCCTTTAACAGTGTAACAGAAGTCTTAATAAACAGACAAATATATTTTAGTAGAATAGATTGCAGCACATAATTTATACACATTTTTTCATATGGGCAGTTAAAATGAACCCTCCTCTCCAACACCCATATGCCCTCTCAGCTAAATCACTAAAAAGGAGACTGTAGTTAATGCCCAATTTCACTGAATGCAAGTTAGTGAACAAGAAGCTGTGCTCTTTGCTACCACTCTCACCTGTCTCACTGAAGAGCTGAGAAATTTAAAACTGACAGACTTGTAGAATAAGGACCAAGTAGCTATAGCTCATTTTTGGGGTTAGCATTAATATCTTAACCTCACCTCTCTTGCTGAAAGATGAAGCACCACTCTAGAGCTTTCTAAATTTTTTTTTCCTTATACAGCAAGTTTTTAGTCTCTACTTTTAATCAAGGCTAGTAAGAGTTTCATTTTATAGAACCTTTAGCAGTGGTCTAGGCCAGAATTTTGAATCTTAGCAAGTCAAACACTGTAGACAAAAGATGACCTTATCTCAAAAGCCACGTTAATGCTTAAAATTTGATCATTTAACACAAGAGTTTGTCTCTGCACAAAGATTTCTCATTAAATTCTCAGTTTGTTGCTTCTTCCACGTGTCACAAGACTATTACCTCATACAAAAGGCAGTGCCCACCTTTATTACATAGAAACACACAACAGCATTTCAGCAGCTGAGGAACTTTACAGGGTTTAGCAACAGTAGTTTTATTACTGCAGCCCCTCTGCCTGAGTTATCCTGAAAGTAACAGCTTAAATCAACATCCCTGAGGTAAACGAGTAGCACTGTCCCAGCTCACCAATGGCAGAGACTGGGGAATAGAATCAAGAGGTTTGCCAAGAGAACACAGAGTCAACAGATCTGTGGTTAGCGGCTTCAGTTCTAGCTAGTCCGTATCAACTGCACTGCAGCTCAGCTGGACGCAACGAGCACAGAGCAACACTCCCTGCACCAATTCCTACCTCACTGGTTTCCTTCCCCATCTGCTGCTTCGTACAGTGCTGGCTTAGGGAAGAAACAAGAAGTACTGCCTCTTCCTTCCACCTTTTATCCCACAATTCTTAAGAACAAATGAAGATACACTGTCCAAATAGAACTTCTTCCACCTCTCAGATAAAAAAATAATCATCTTCTCATACAGGTACAAGAACATTGAAAAAAGTCATCATTAACTTCAGTTTAATACAAAAAGGCAGAATTTTAATTTCATTTACAAGTGCTAAAATTCACTAGCAGTCTATCCTCACTACCTTATAGTCTGAAATTTCATTTTAGAACCATTGAAAGGTTTGAGTGAAAAACAAAGCTTAGTTTGCTAAGTATCAACTCTGGCAGAAAGCAATCTGTTCAAAATCTTTCTGAAAATAATTTTACAAGACAACTAGTCACAGAACACACAAAGTTAGCAGTTTCTGGCTGTACAGTATTTTACAGATAGCATTAAAGTGCATCAGAGAATGCTGTCCAGTGCAAGTTGAAACTCATCCCCAGAGACTGTTGCTTAGCAAGCAGGGTCGCGCTCCCTACACATTATCCGATTAAAGGATCATCGTCATCATCTTGTAACTGAAGCCGGGAGAAGGGCCGGGGAGAAGATATTCTATTCTTTGATATTATTATAATGCAGGTGAAAGCAGCCAACACTATTAGGGCCCCAACAACTATCCCAATGGCCTCAGGAAGATTTATGCACCACTGGTCAGCCAGCAGGCACTTGACGTTACCGAGGGTTCCGTTGTGGGGCTGAGGTGGTAGCCCCAGGATGTGACACATCATGGGGTAGATGTCAACAGTTCTCAGTGTGCGCTGCTTGTAACCCCGGCGGAAAGCAGGCCCATGAGCAGCCAGGAAGGGATGCATGCTTGGGAGAGCGTTGTCATAGCCATGGTCACCTACTGGAGGAGCACAGAGTTCACAGTTAGCCTTGTGGTTTCTCCCTGTGTATTTGTCATGCTTCTCCCTCTCTCTCCCCTGTCCACAAAAGGCACCTATTTTAAAACCAAGGACTAATACAGAAAATAAGAGCAAGCCTTTGATCCAAACCTGGAACTGATTCCTTCCCTCCTTCCTGCTCCCCAATAGTCCTTTTTCCCCTCACCAGCCTTCAAACATGAATCTTCTGAGTAATTATCTCTTTTTCTTCTGGTCATCAACTCTTACAGGTTTCCCTCTCCTACTGCTTATGTCAGAGTTGAAATGGTTGTTCCCAATCAACAAGAAATCAGGCTGGAATTAAAGTATGCATTCCTGAGATTTGGGGATTTGCAAGGCAGACACCTTAATTTCTTTCAAAAAGCCAAGCACATTCCCCTTGGTAGTGTTCCGTTCAAGCATACTGAAGAACTCTCAATTCCTGTTTATTACATCAGCTTCTTCAGGCAAAGGGATATCCCCCATTTTTTTTTTTTTTAAAAAAATCCCTAAACAGTCAAAAAATAAACAAAAAAACCCTAAGATCATGCCTGTGACAAGCATTTAACAAAACTGGCTACATGGTTTGGACACATGGTAGTTTTAAGAAAATACTCAGATTCCTGGTGAAATCTAAACACCTAGAGAACAGCTGTAGTCCATTATCCTAAAATCTGTTCTAGATGCCAAAAATCTCTCTCAGCAGTCACAACAGAACTTGAGTGACTGTATTTAGGTTAAGACTTCATTTCTTAAAAACAGTTTAACCTATCTATCTGCCTCCAGAATTGCCACCTTGTCTGCTTTTTTGCTGTTTCCGATTTGAATTTTTATCATTCCTATAGCTTTAGATGAAATCACACTCACCAGTTAGTATACTTAGAAATAACAGTGTTAAAGATGCTACTCGTGTATCTTCTTGCTTGTTTGCTTCAAAAAAATCTTGCATTTTTTATTAGTTTTTTCAACTAACTTATTTTGAGTAGAGTTATTCTAAGTTGCTTCCCTATGGAGTTTCCTGTTTGGAAACATTTAAGTGGGAAGGCTGTTATGCACTGGCACTGCTAGGAATAGCACTGGTATAGGTAAATGTGCAGGTATTTTGCTGCCATTCTGTCCATGAAGACACATACAATGAGCACTTAAGTAGTTATTTATGCAGCTTTCTAGAGTTTGATGCACAAACCCACTCCCACTTGCTTTTGGGAAGCTTTGGCAAGTCAAATGCTTTTGAAGAGTGATTCACTTCAACTCATGTAACACTGTTACCTTTAAATACAGACTTATTAACTATTTTTAGGTAGATGAACTCAACATATAGCACACATGGAATTATGCTCTACAGTGCTGTCATTTTTTGTTAGATTCAGTTGGAAGATTTTTGAAAGTTAAAATTTTTGAAGTATTTTTTTCAACATGCTATTTGATGACTCAGTGAGAACTCTGGCTTCTTCAACTATTATTGTTGTGTTGTTACTAGCTTTAATATTTTCTTCCACTTAACTTGTTTCTCAAGATGTGTATAATACCATTAAAAGGTATATCTTGCAATCTCCAATTTAAATTCCTGATATGTATTTTATATTCAAATAGTTTAAGCCATGCATCAGGGGAAGCTTGAGACACAGAGGCTGCATAACTTACTTAAGACTCCTTTTAAAGAGCACCTCAGGCTCTTAAATTGAATATGGTTAAGTGGAATATTCCTCGAGTCAATGAAATATCCCCCATCTCCTCCTCATCTGAGCAAACAGCCAGACTTGTGTGGAAAAATTTGGAAATTGCTGCCTTTGAGACGTTCCCAAAAAATGCACATTACAAGGGCTCTTATCACTAAGCTAGGATCATCCTAGAGATGCTGAAATAACAACAAAACTGTTTACAAATGAGGAAGACAAACTTACATTTTGGAAGCGACTCATTTTGTACAATTGTCCAGCCTTCATCTGCAACCAGAATAATGGGTTGAATTCGCTTATTATGTTGGTAATGAAATCTGTCAGGAATTTCTTCTTTGAGATACACTTTCATATGCTCACTGCAGTTTTTCAGTAAGTTATATACATAAGTTTTGTCTGTCAAAAAAAAGTTACATGTGAAATGGATGGAAATTACATCTTAATTACTACAACTTTCTACCAATTAACTTTAATCTATCCTTTTCAGAGCAATATTTTTTCTTTGAAAAGCATGTGAGAATACTTTTTCCTTGTAAGAATATTTTTTCCATGTCCCCGATGAAATGCTCTACATATGAATGTAGGTTCCCCTTCCCCCCACCTTTAAACAGCAGATTAATGGCTGTGATCTAGGACCTACAATTCAGGCAACTCCTTGGAACTCTGGCAGAGGGGTGGAAGAGAAGGACCAAAATTCATGTAGAGAAAACAAAAGAACAAAATCATACACAGAAATAACCAATATTTTATCCAAAGCAGTGGAAGTATTTTAAAATTGTTATCCATATATAATTTGGTTCACGATAATCACTTCAGCAGCCATATTCAGGGAAACTCTCATTAGTATCTATCCTGACATACAAAAACTGACACTTCCTTCACAGAAGCAAAAGGGGTAGAGCAATCAAAGCTCATTTTAGATTTTTTATTTGTGCATTTGGAAGTTTAGACAGTGTTATTTTTAATTCTGAACAAACCCAAGTGTTATTCTGAATAAATCCAAGTATTTATAATGAGCAAATAAAATGCTCATTATGAATTACAAATCCATAACTGAATGACTGAGCAATAAAAGATCACACACACGATGTGCCTATTCATTTGTCAAGGATCAATCCCAGGCGCATCTTTAGCATCCATAGCAATTTGACAGGAAACACACTGATTACCAAAACAAAGAAATCTCTAAATAAAGAGACATTCTTTCTTTAGCTTATTCATTACAACAAAGCTGTGCAATATAAACTATAGCAGTTTTGAAAAAGATGCAGACAACCTACCACACTGCGTACATTTTTAACAATAAGATAAACAAGATTTGATTCTCAGTGTACGACTTAGAAAAATAAGAATACATACTTTGTCTCGGCAGCACTGCAGCAACTGGACTCTTGTCTACGAGAGTATAGTTTTTGCGACCAATACAACTATCCAGGTTAATCAGCTTCTCTGCAGAACATGGGGCCATTCCATGATCGCTTGTTATTATGACATTAATAGTGTCCCACAAACCTAATGTTTTCAATTTTTTAGTAAGGAAACCAATATGATTATCCACTTGTTCTAATACTCTGCGCATGTTCTCAGTATCATCTGGTCCATATTTATGTCCACTTGCATCTGGTTCTTCCCAGTATAAAGTAGCAAAACTGACTGGTGGGTTGGAGTTGTTCAGCCATGTAACAATTTTCTCCGCTCTCTCCTCAAATGTTACCGAGAAATTATACTTCATAAAGAACTGAGGGGTTGTATTGTGAATTTTCACATCACTACCAGGCCACATCGCAGCAGCACTTGCTCTGTTTCCCTGCTGATTTGTTACCCAAATTGGGACAGCCCCATTCCACCAGAAGGGATCTGAATCATTGAACTGTGAGAATGTTTTCTTGGCATCTGCATCATACATGTCATTAGCCACAATGCCATGGCTTTCTTCGTACAGGCCTGTCACTATACTGTAGTGATTGGGGAAAGTCTTTGTGATAAAAGAGTTTGTAACGTGGCTGACAAGCACGCCATCCTCGATGAACTCCTGGAGATGAGGAAGTTCATAGGTTTTCAAGTAATCAGCCCTGAAGCCATCAAAGGACACCAGGAGTAACCTGGATAGGGGATTAATAGCAGAGTTGCCACAACAGGCAGCTACTCCTGAAGAAAAAAGCAATGCTAACACCAAATTCATTGTTGAGGCATTCAAGTATTCCCAGCTGCTAATCTGATGCACCTGAAAAAATGAGAGAGAGAGTATTTGTAAAACAAAGTAGTTGTCTGCAATCAATCTACATTATGCATATCTTCCCAAGGCAGGTACCACAAAATAGCTCGTGCAGGAAGTAAAGCCAGTAACAAAGACAATGAGGGTTCCCCCCCCCCCCATTTAAGACTCTAAATGGAGAGAAAAAAAAAAAAGGTAATTATTTCATGGGTTTATGTGTTTTATTACAATTCTACAGTTAAAGAAAAGTGATCAGTATTCATCTCCTGTTCAGACATATGCACCTAAATAGGACTCTTGAAAATGAAGTTATGTACCCCAGAATGCCACTAGAGTTTAGACCACGAATCCATTTGCTACCATAATTCTCATTTTCCTTTTACCTCCTCAATACCTCGCCCGCCCTCAGTTTTGATCACCTTAAGCTGCTAATACAGTTTTACAGACTTTTCCTATTTATTCCCTGCTTGCTCTATACCTCTATACATGGAGTTGACAAGAGAAAATTGTGCAACAGTTCAGGAGAAGAGAAGCATATCCGCTTTAACAGTAATAAAACTTGTTCTTTACATCTCAAAAAAAAAAGTAATCTCTGTTACTAAAGTTATAAGCAAGTTTTTCTTGATAAAAAACCCACAAGCCTCTTAATCATCAAAAATAAAAAGTATGATTTATAACATGATCATTTTTGGTTATAGACTAACATACAGCAGAAAGGAGATCTCTGAGTTTATGATGGACAGAACTGCTCCACTCAGGAAGATATCTCTCTCTCTATATATATTTAAATATATATATTCCTCTATACACCTTTAAGACAGGATAAGCAAAGCTTCAGGTTTCAAAAACTATTGTTAGACTGCAAAACTACTATGTTAGACAGTACATCTACTTCTAAAGAAAAGCCCCATTCCAGCATTTTTTCCTCTCTCATTGGCACAAACTAGGTAGATTTTAGAAAGAACTAAAAATACCTTCTTAAATAGCAGATTTCTAATAGCTCCTGCCCCATTTCAAGCCTTTTGCCAAATTACAGAGTTCTTTCAAAGTGCCATTGCTCATGGTTTCATCAAAAGTGCCAAGAGCTCAAATGTTCACCCAAGCTTTAGCAGTAAGGGGAATTCCAAGCCCAGGAAATTACTGTACTGTTCCCTCTCCTAAAGCAGAATTCTTTAAATTTTTGGAAAAAAAAAAAAAAAAAGCAATTCAAAGACTCTCAGATACTGAATTTAGGCATTACACATACATCAGGCTAGCACAAAACAAAACTGTGTATGGGAACAGAGCAGGAACCAAACTTCCCATTGCAGATGAAGTTTTGTCCTAGCTCTCACAGGGGATATTTATCTCCTTTTTGTTTTCGTTTCTTGTCAGTTTCTTGTCCAGCCCAGAATACCAAGCCCAGTGTGCTCCACCTCTTCCCAAGGCTTTCCTAAAGCATTAGCCTCATGCATGTCAAATCCACACTGCAGAGAAGGCATAAAACCTCACACCAGCCTGGAAACACTCCAGAGACATAACATCAGTTGCGTTTTTACTACATACAGCATTTCACAACTAACTCCAGAAAGTTTCCAGCGCGACAGCTCTTGAGCAGGGCCCCTGGCCAGCGAGCTCCGAGGCAGGACCTCCCCACCTCGCTCTGAAGGGGTTATCCCGACCTTGAAAGAGGGCGCCCGGCACGGAGGAAGCGCTCGGCGCCTCCTCGGCCGCCGCCGCCGCCTCCTCGGGAAACGGGCCGCGCAGCCCCGGCTAACGGCAGGCGGGAGCCCCGCTGACCTCATCCCCGGGACCCGGCACCATCACGACCGGCGAGACTCACCCCTTGCCCGGGCAGGGGAGCAGGAGTGACCGACGGCGCGAGCAGCTCAACGACTCCTCCTCAGGGCAGGGGAGCGGCGCCTGCGCGGCCCCAACCGCCGTTAACGGCCGCAACCGCAGCCCGCCGCGCAGGGGTGGGGGCCCACAGGCGCGCTGTGATTGGTCGGAGCGCCTGTAGACGATGACTGATTGGTTGTAAGGGAGGCGAGGGGCGGGGCGTCGCGTAGTGAGTGATGGGGGAGCGGGTGCAGGTGCATGGGGAGCGGGGATGGGCTGATGGCCGCAGGACGGGCCTGCGGGACACTAACGGTTACGCAGTTATTTGCCATATCTGCCAGCCAAGATGCCAAAACTGAGCCCTAGCTCAAGAAACGGGCAGGAGCGAAGCAGTCAAACCGCCATTTCCCTAAAAAGTTTTCACTGAAATGACCGAAGGACAGAAAAAAAATGGCAAAGCAATGAGTTGTTGGCATTACCTGTCCCCTTTGATCTCACTTACGTTGTCCTGTGTATGCCCAACTACATACTGCTCAGCTGTGACCACACTGTTTTGACCCAAAACATTGACCATGCAAACTTAATGTGAATATATTCCTGAATGGAAGCGCCCTGTGCTGGCTCGAGGCAGCTCCTGTGTGTGCCAGTGGGTGTGTGAGATCAGGACGGGGTGAAGCGCTGAGGTTTGCTTTGGGTCCCAGCATTAAATTTGTTTTGTGACTCAAGGCTGACAGCCCAGATGCTCTCTGTCATCGTTTTTATTATGAGGAGGAACTAGTGAGTCTACAAAACATGCAAAGTTGCTGATGGTGAGAAAGAATGAAGTCAATTGTGTTTAAGTGTTCTTTAATAGTATATACCAGAGATCATAGCTCCCATTTTAAATTTCATCTTGAAAACAAAGACATGCATATAGCTTCACTGTTGACTTAAGTAGAGGATCTGGACTCCACTCTCTATCCTGGTGGCATGTTTATTCTGATTACTGCCTGGATTCCAGCAGGCTATTGATTTATAGGTGCCATGAGAAAACTGGTGAACAGAGTGGCACACCCCTGATTCACCCCAGCTGTGGAATGCAGCAGGTGGGGCAAAGCACAGGCACCTAAAAGGAGAAAAAACACTCCACGTGGGCTAGATGTCATGCAGCTGCTCAGATGGTTTATGTCAAATTTGAGTCAAAAGAGTCAAATTCTTTTTTTTTTTCCTTCCCCCTCCCCTTTTTTTCCTTCTTAGTTACACTAATGCAGCTCTGTAAATATGCACATGACTATTTATGACCCAGGAAACGGAAACGTCCTTTACAAGTGATCTTATTGCATTGTGTTGAGTGTTTACTACACAGAGTGAGTTTAAGGTATAGGGAATATATAATATGAAATGGCCACAAACTGAAGCACCAAAAGTTCTGCAGGAACGTAAGGAAAAAAATATTAGCAGTGAGGGTGACAGAGCCCTGGAACAGGCTGCCCAGAGAGGTTGTGGAGTCTCCTTCTCTGGAGATCTTCCAAACCCGCCTGGATGCCACCCTGTGCCACGTGCTCTAGGTGACCCTGCGTGTGCAGGGGGGTTGGACTAGATGATCTCTAGAGGTCCCTTCCAACCTTAGCGATTCTATGATTCTATGATAATATGTGTAGTCTTTTATCCTGCTCTATTTTGGTTTTATTTGGATCTTGTTACTCTCTTGACACAGATTCATTTTAAGCAACAAAACGCGTTTTGCCAACCCATTCTGGCAACACGCTTGCTCATCTATTCAGTCTTCAAAAGCGTAAGCAAATCTTCTTGTTTACCCATGGCCATGTGCTTTGAAAGCTGCTCATGGCCATATGAGCTCAGCCTAGAGTAATGTGGCCTGTTTGACACATCCTGAAGGCAGCCTACCCAAGCAACTCTGGACATCTGAAATGTGCCAGCCAGCACGTACAACCCATTTCATACAAGTCTTGTATTGTGTGTGTGCCTGTAAGAAATGCTTTAATTACGCATTTACTTAAATTAGCAGAAGAAAAACTGGGAAATACCTGGATTTTTGCCTTTCATCACCTTTATCTCTTCTTGCATTGCACTTAACCATTACATTCTTCTGTTAAGCTTGTAAACACTAGACTATACATAGTTTTGCCAGATGGTATACAGAGTTACTGATGTAGATCAGTTGAGCATTTGCAGCTTGAAAATTATTAGATAAATGCATTTGTGTTACTGGAATTTACTGAATGACAGGATGTAAAGGATAGGCAGCTATGAAAGATTCTCAATATTTGGCTAAGTTGAATAAAAGACTTGATTTCTGAGCTGGAAGTATACCCCCCCTCCCCCATTGCTAATACTGAGGACGGAAAACTATTGCTTTTTATTTAGATTTTTTTTTTTAAAGTGAGTATTTCAAGTACCTGTATTAAGAACTTTTGTAAGAAAAGGTTATTTTCAGTGCTTATAACCAAGAGGAGTGAAATTGAATACTGAAAAACACTTTTCCTTTTTTTTCATGAGTTTTTCTCAATTTTATGCATATAGCAGAAGTCTCTCTGATTAGTTTTGGAAAATACCTTACTGTCAGTCATTTACTGTATTTTGATGTGTCCTTATGTAGTTGAGAAGAAGAAAAACATGAAAATATAGTTCATAAAACCATAAAAGGCAGGTGGTGACCAACAGCTGCCTAAATTTATTAGACTTTTATTTTTTAGTACCCCTTTAATCAGAAGAATAGGTTGTATATGGTGATTGTAAACAGAAAGGAACATTAACCACGTCATTTCTCAAACTGTCTGGAATGATATCCCTAGGGTTACATGACCGAGTGATACAGAGTGTTTTGGTGTCACTGTTCTCTATTTCATTTACTAGAGACTCCACTGTATAAAAGCTTGAAGTCTGGTTTCTCCAGCTGCACTTTATAAGGGTGCTCAGTTTCAGAGGTAAACAAGGATATTGAAATGATGCCAGATTTTAAGGGCAAACAAAACTGTTTTCCTTGGAGCAGTTGCTTTGTTAGGATAAAAAAGTCAACATTTCTTAGGCTATCAGATATTCTAATGGAATTTCCAACCACTGGGTTGAATAGCAAACCAAACAAAGATTTATAAAGAAGACGTATAAAAAGACCACAAATAAAGGACTTTGAAATATCCAAACCAGTA